GTAATAAGTCACGATAATCGACTGCATGTATCAGATTCAGTTAAATAATATATACTATAAGCACATGTATTTATAGAAATAATGATATATTAACAGATGAGTTGTATATTAACGATATTATACGACCAACAAGATTAAAATGCGAGATAATGAGAATCCACCGGAAAACTCAATGATGAAAAGAGTTTGATAGATTATTGTATAAATATTTGCATCTTACGATATTTGTGAAGAATCTTAAGTTTAAAACTGTTTTTTGATTTTCATTACATTATTGATATGCTAGAAAATTAATCATAAATCAATATATATAAATATATTGATAGTGAATATCCTGTAAATGTAAAATTGTAGCTAAAAAGTCACAATTTAACTCAATGCAAAATCGATGAGAAATAGTACCGTTAAAGTGTAGTCTATCATTTGCTGAAGTGCGTTCCGGTGACCATTTAACGTGATAGTTAGCAAACGCTCATCGAATTGGTCTTTATTTATCGGCCTAACGGAAAATCGTTTCGTACCGTGGCACGTCGAAAAGCTTTGGAAGGTGGAAGCACGTTTGAGAGGAAATTAGATCGGGCAATTTCCGTGTCCACCAGCAGCATGGGTGGTTGACGAGGGATGGAACAAAACGCCGAGAAAAGGGATAGGTACGCGATGTGCAACGCTGGTCATGGTGTATTTATTTGAACAGTTTTACGGAATTAGACCGTTTAAAAGAATTGAATTAGATTGTATTTAACTAGTGACACACAAACTGAAAAAGAGAAACAGAAAGAAAGAGAAAAAAAGAGTCATGTTACTGGCTAGTTAAACTTTTGAGGTTTCATTGATGGGACTCGCTTTGAGTTTGCATGCGCTTCAAGCGATATTTAACTAATTATTCTTCTCCAAATGTAAAAAAAAATTTTTTAAGTAACAGATTATATCAGTGATCAGAAAAATAAACTCTCTTATATGATTGATAAAACTCTTTGTAAAAAAAATTTGTAGGAAAGACTGACGATAAATATATGTGAATAATATCATGCGTACAATTTTTTCTAAGTTATCGCAATCATAATATCTTGAATACAGTATATGACAGCTTATCTTTTCTCTTTCATCGTTATCAAGCTCTCGAAAATCGTCGAGTCGATAATTAAGCGAGCGGTCCGGAACTCGGCGCGAGCCGTGCGTAAGCTGTGACACCTGACCATGCGCGCATCCCGGACAGGGGTAATTAATCTAAGCCCATCGCGCGAATGGCTACCGGTACCACTACCGTCGCCGCGGGGGTAACAACGACGGCGGCGGCGGCGGCGACGGCAACTACGGCGATGGCGACGGTGATGGTGATGGTGACGGTGGTGGCGGCGGCGGCGGTGGTGGTGGTGGTGGTGACAAATTACCTGGACGCGCGTGGCGTCCGCGTCCAAGTCGCGGATACAGTTGATACGGGCTGCTCGGCACGCTTGGCAGATACAGTTGGCGTACCATTGCGGTGTGTATCCTCTGCGGCCCAACGACGAACTCGCGAGCGGAACTTCCGCTCGCTCGCGTATCACGCGTGAACAAAACGAATCGTACGGATGTTTGTTTCCACAGACGCGATTCTGTCGATGGTCAAGCGATTCGATTCGAGTATGCGGATAGATTTGGTAGACGAGATTGGCTTATACTGTTATTCGTACATGAGCTCTTCCAAATTTGAACGAAACTCTCTTGCGAAAAGCAAATCTATTTTTTAAATGCAAATTTAAAAGCGAAATAAAGTATTATACTTTCGCTTAATAACAGAAAAGCTTTAGTTGTTTTTGACTAACATTTTTTATAATTGTTTTGGCAAGAATCGCATAAAAAACAATAAACAATCGTCGATTTGTTTATTTGTCACAATAAATGATAGATAATTACTGCAGAACTAGTAAAAGTTACAGAGCTATAAAATCTAGAATGAAAGATAAGATTTATCCCTAAATTCTAAATCATTCAACGGAACGAACCATTTTTCATCCATTCAGAAACTATCGGATTTATTGGATAGATAACAAATTTTTCCTACATTCGTTTCCTGCATAAAGAATAAATAAGAAAATTGCTCTCATAAACTTCTATTTATGATATATATTTTTAATTCAAATTTACTTATGCAATTGTTGAACTGCCAGTTGTTTCTTACATTCCTGTCTTCATAAAATATCGAGTGAAAATTGCTTGTATATACATACGTAGATATGAGATAATGTAAGATCTAGATTGAATATACTAAAATATAAATTTTTCAGATTCATATATGTTCTAGAGGTAGATATTATAAGTGAAGAAATCTAATATTTTAGTTTAATAATTTGTCAAAAAATCGTGATTTTTTTATTGTCAAAACAAATAATATTAATTAATGATTTTTGAATTACAATTATTTCTAACTTTTTTTATAACAAAATTAATATGTTTCTTTCGCTTATTTTGAGATAAACACAATGTATGTTTTGCGAGTTATTAAATTATTGAGTAGTTAGTAAGTGAAGTAAATTGTAAAGCGTTAAAGGTACAACATATTGCGTAAAGATGTATTAGTGGTATATCAGTAAAAAATAATCATTCGTGTAGCATAATTTTTTTGGTTCTATGCCAACTGCTTCAACGAGAGAGCTTATTGCACATTCATTCTGATATCTGCTTGAAAAGTTTGCCAGGCAGATATAGATGAGTCGAAACAATAATATCTTTGTACATGATGGCAGATCGTACTTTAAATAATAAGTAGAAACATCGCACACATGTAGCTTTTTTTTGACCAATCGGTCAGTGCAGTCGTAAAATTTTATCGAGCCTGAGAGATAAACGTCAAAGATGAAGGCCGAGATGCGAGATCAGAGATCGCCAAGAAGTATCTTCGATCCGATTGAATTCCTGGTAGAATAGCACCGGAAAGTGGAAGACTCGCGCTTCGTATGAAAAGACAGGGATGATACTTGTAACGCCTTTTATACGTCCTCGATACAGCCAAAAGTTTCTATGGTTGCACAAAAAGAGTACAGCTTGAAACGATTTAAGAGACGTTCAAGGCCGGTACACTCTCCAACGCAAGAAAGAGTAGCTAGCAGAGAAAATCGTTGCGAACTTGGAGCTTTAACTCGAAGCGATTAACTTACAAAATCAATTGAAAAAAAAAATACATCGAGCAGAAAACTGCCTGGCGGATCGTCACGCGCTACGATGGCCAGATGCTGGTGACTGGTCACAGTGTGTCGTCGATATCTTTTAACGATGCACTAAAAGCTCTAACAGATCGTTACAACAACGATATCGAGCGCAACACGTTCGCGGCTGGCGTAAAATCTGCCAATCGTTGCGTCGGCATTTCGTCGCATTAAACACGCCAGTCGGCGTTCTCGCGACTAACGATAACCTTTCGACGATGACTACGTTCTGGCCGAGTGCTTCCGGTCCGTATAAATGTGTCCTACGTCTACGCAACACATACGCTCGCAGCTGGCAAACGCTTCAGTGCGCAATGCATGACACCGCTCTCTCCGTCAAGCTCGATTTATCACTCATTCGTACCACCATCGAGTCCCGCTGTTGCTACCGACTAGACTAGTTATTCGTAATTACTCGCGTGATGGGGAAGCTCGTTTCTCAAAGCGGATGGATAGACTGACGGATGGAGAAGTTATATCGTTGCCGGGATCTATCTTTCCTGCGGGACATGACATTATATGCTGATATTACGAATTCTTTATAGTTAAATGGCATCTTTGCTTGTACTACGATCAGCGAAGAGAGATTATGTAGTCAGAGTTCTGCGAACTAATTTTCTCGGAAATTTGTATAGCGAATTAAATTGTTTAAAAATTTATTAATATTGATGACAAACACGATGTGTAAGATGACACGATAATAATATCCTTATTGAAGACAAGCGTTCTATAAAATTGGAGAGAAGATAATAATACACAGAAAACGCTCAACTCAAAGGTATATAATAGATATCACCATAAAAAAGATTTTTTGTGTAAGCTATACAAAGATGATAATCAAGGCACACAAAAAATATTTACAATTCTAAAATCCGATAACGATAAAATACATTTAGAATCAAGTGTCAATTAAGACGTTAAATCTTAAATTCAAAAATTTTTTATTTTTCAATTTTAGAAATTCAAAATCATGATATTTTGAATAAACAGTTTTAGCATCGTATACATATTTGAAAAATATTAAATTATAAATTAAATTATAAAAATTTTTTATATTTTTGTGAAATTCTGTGAGATAATGGTTAAAGAGATAACATACAGTAACCGGAATTTAGGAGAAATATAATCGGACCTGAGCTCTATGGTAGGATTCATCAAGAGCACTTGCAAATGAGTATCGCAATGACGAGGCTGTAGGTAATCGTCCGTTAAATGATCGCGCTCACTACGCATGAAAGGGTCATGATAGCACGTGTGATACAATTCGCTTGGATTCGCTTGGATTCGCTCGGAAATATAATACAGTCTCATCGATCTTTTTCTCCTATCATTTTTTTGGGGGGGTTTATTTCGCTATCGTCATTCTTAGATGTACGTCATGTACGATACAATTTGTCGATCAATACCCTGACAAACGAGAAACATGCTTGAGTCATGCCGAGCTGGGGCATCGGGCTATCTTCTGATAATAACTAAAACTTTCCTGTCAGCCATGTATACGCCATGCGACACTGCGAGGCGCACGTTATTAGTGTCGCGCACAATATGCGCACAGAGAACAGACATCCCTCTTTGCCCCTTTCTCATCCAATTCCGGTCAGTCGCCCCGTGCTACACACAGCACACCGCGCCATGGACCTCTCTCCAGCTCCGGTTCTCTATCGGCGCTACAATATGTGCGACGCATTGTAATCTATGAGCCGGCTAGCGCCTAGGTCGCCGCCGGCAATGATGATATCAAATGCAGTGATTGACGCTCCGCTCTCCGTGCTCATGATCTCGTTTCTCGTAACCAAATCGGTCGGCGCAACCATCACCGTCGCCATCGCCATCGCCATCGCCATCGGACCGCCATGATCGTACAATATGCTTGCAGTCGTATCGAGCACGCAACAACGTGGAGAGGTGTATGTTTGCGCGATTAAGTCCGTACGATCTTCCGGTTCCTCGTTCGCGCAAGCGTGAAACGAATCCAAAACGAGAATTTGGCGCTGGCCCGACGACACGAGTGCGTTAAATGAAATATCGATTGTACCGTCCGATAGCCAGTCAAAAACTGATCGCGGCCGTTTGCCCATATCGCTTTGTTTGCCAACACACTCCTGATTCAACTGGGTCAACTACGATCGATTGCGATGGCTTTACATTACTGCCGTTAAAAGGCAAGGTAATTCGACATCTAGATGAGTAACGTATAGATTCAAACATGCCCGAGAAGATAAGAAACGGACGATTTTCTTTAAATGCATCCCTTATATTTAAAAAAATATATAATCCCGATTCAATTAAAGGAGATATTTTCTCAGGACATTAAAATCGGAATGTTATGACAAATTTCTGCGCAATGATTTAATCGTGCAAAAAAAAACCGCGCGCATTTCTTTCACAGTAGTCAAGATTAAATAAAAATCGATGAAGCACACAAAAGCCAACGAGACTGCGCCGCTTTCGACATCCCGCGAATTTATACCGCTAGCGTGAAAATTTACAGGCACACGACTATACCAGCAAGCTGCATATTTTTTTCACCCAATCTGGCCATTGTCCGCGCGCGATAACACCGAGAACATATCGACGCATCGATCTTTCATTCATCCGTTTATTACGCGATAAAAGCATCACGTAAAGCGAAAGCACACAATATGAAGAAAAGTTTCTGGTTTCTATGTTGTGTTTTGATATTTTGATTCCATGTTATTTTATATAAACGTTTTAATTTTATCTAATATTATTATCAATTATTAATATTTGCTAATTGTGCTCATCATTACTAACGATTGTATTTCTGGTTACTTTCGACATTTCTATTCTTTTTATCTTCGAAGTCAACTGGAAAACGGACATAGGAATATCTCATTCATAGAAGCAACTTTAGGAAACTCGTTACTTTGTGTCAGTTTATCCGATTTCTGCGCTCTGGATCATAAAGGCTCTTAACGTTATGGGGTCATACTATTGTTGTCGTTCGCGTATGCCATCCGACGATGTAACCCGCCGCAATGCCACGGGCATTTTTCGTTAACGGCGCTAAAGGCTCGCTTTATCATTCCCAACATTTACTATTCTAATTCCGGAACGTACCGAGTCGTTATTAGACGGAAGAGATAAAGATAATTCGGCCAGTTGCGCGGTTGTGGGAATGGAGGACTCCCAGCAGACAATGGCGTCTTTTATGATCCATCTACACGATCGGAATCTTCGTAGAATGGCTTGCACTTTTCCGGCATTGTCCGGCTCTGCACTTTCCCCTAATTTATGATTGTCGAGCGTTAAAATAATGCAAATTTTTAAGATGAAATCATTTTATATCATTTAACCATTTAAATATACGAAAAAACTAATATCGTAAAAAATTCAATTGTATCAATAATTGACATTTTTTTTTGCACATCATAAATTAATATAATGGAATAATAATATGCTATAGCATTGATTTCTTAATATGTTTATATGTCATTAACTTAAAAATTTATAAATCTGATAAATTTTTAATATAATTACCAAAAATAAAAAATAATTGTAAAGCAACAATTTGTTTCGGAAATTTAATATAATTGAATAACTAAATTAACAATGATAATGATACTTGCTATAAACCATCTATGCTTTGTACCACTTCCTAAAAAGACTTTCTAACGTTCTAAAGTTCTAAATTGCTCCGTCTATATAAGCTCATACTGCGTAATTACATGGATATCAAAGTGCTGCTGAAAGTACTAATAACTACCTACAGTCAAACAAGACTAATTGACTTTGTGGGAGTTTATTCTCGTCAAAGAGTTTGACGAATCCGTTAAATTATTGCGAAAATTTATGAAAAATAGATACGATATGGAAATAGGTGATATAAAGTGTAATATTAGTAAAAATAGAATGAAGAAATTATTATTTCTGATTAGTATTATCAGTAAATTTTTCGAAGACATGATATTTTCATTCATATTTTATTTAATTCTTGCGACTCGCCCTTCTATTTCTCGCCTCTTTAATTCAATATATTTCATTCAGATTGTAGATATATATATTCATAAATATATAAATATTAAATATAACTATTACTCTTTTAGTTGTAAATACGTAATTCATCCATTTACCAAACTAAAGACTACTTAATATTAGCCATGTTTGCCATCAAGATGTAGCGCTTTGCCATTAGAAATTTCAAAAAGAATTAATATTTCATTAAAGAATTTAATCGTTCAAACATCACTATAGCTATAAAAGTTGTGTATGTTTTCTGCCTCTCTATCATACATAAATCTGATATCGAAGTAAGAAAGACATTTATATTCATGACCAAACAAGCGCTGGTACTTCTTTCCTGCCATCAGCAATATTTACCGCCAGTAAACATGACAGAAATCTTTCATTGAATTCCTTGCTTCACTCGGCACGCGTTTCATTCTTCTTTTCATCGTTCCCGCCGTTCTTCTCTCGACACTCTTCTCATTTTTATTTTCATCTAACATCACGCGACAATCTCGTTCGTGCCTATACCTGCACGGATAAAAGAATCCCTCGCGACTGACGCGATTTTCGCGACATGGGAGACTCTTGTGCAACCGCGAGAGAAAAGCGCTTTGAGCAGCGCACGATGAATCGCCGACGACGAAAATTCGCTGCATGGGTCGCAAAAGGGAAAATTGCAATTACATGAGAACAAAGTACTAGCAGCTTGAAATACTCTAACAACGACATACCCTATACAATTAGATTGGACAATTAATCGGGTGTGATTTTGAGTGAGTGAGTGAGAGAGAGAGAGATTTATTTTAAAATCTCTGGATTAAATATCTTCCTCATTTTTACTAATATGAGATTCATATCTAATTTTATCATAATATAATTTTCTATATTCACATGATGATAAAATATCGATTCGTACTGCTTCCATCTTTCACAAGTGTACTAAAAATTACACGGGTTCCGTAACTTACGTCGGATTTATACCTTGTTTCGCGATATATATGTATATTGAACCACTACCACCAAATCTAATTGGCATGCACATTAATACAGGTACATTAACGGAGGCTGCGATTAATTACCCGTCCGTGACGCGCAACGCAGTCCAAAGTATTCCCTGTGCGCTAATAAATTGAGTTCACGCGCGCGATAGCACGAGGGACGCACAATTAAATAGCGAGCAAAAATAGAGCGGCATTACTTTTTCAAACGTGCCAAGCGTAATTCGCACGTTTCTTTTTTTTTCACCGGAAATTTTTTCGCACCACATGATCCGGTTGCGTTAACTAAATTCGAAATTAGTTGGCAGTTTCGTATTAATCGTGTTGTGCCGCGCGCGCTCGCCTGACCACTGACGTGCTTGCTCTTCCATCACGTCGAACATATCGCTGAAATGTGTAGTATTACTGTGTCGCGGATGTAATCACAGTACACGAACATGTAAATGCAAAACAATTCGCCACACCTGCAGTAGCAAGATGCGCGCAGTGAAAGAATTTGCGCGCCATCATTTTAGCGATCTACGATTTTACATTTGTACGCCTCCGAACTCCCCGAGATATGAATGTCTATCGCCTTTAATACTGTAATCGAATATCTCGGATAATTTCCGTCTCCAATAGAGCTCACGAAATGTTCATGGTTCGTTTCAAAGAAATATGGCATGTCAGACTGAGATATGTATGTTTAATGGTGCGATTAATATGTACTTCACAATGAAGCGATGGATAATAATTTTCAGCGTATGTGTATAGCAGTTACAAGCTTTAATTAATTCTTTGATGTAATCTAAATAATGCATTTTTATCTTTGTTGCTTCTAGGAATTGTCGTTTGTAACTGCAAATTATTACTATGGACTGTTACATTGTATCTTTTTGCTTTCAACCATGAAAATTTCAACACAGAAAAAAGCATGTATGTTTAAAAAGATTTTTAAAATAAAAAGTTATATGATATTAATAAGACCATATTATAAATACGTTTGAAAATTTGAATTCAATTTTTCTTAATAACCATTCAAAAATAATTCTAAATTTTACAATTGATATTGGAAAAACAGAGTTAATAGAGTTAACAGCTGGTGAAACAAGGCTAATCAACCTAACAAATAACATAGTATTAGGTTATATAAACGATGTAGTCGAGAATTAGGTACAACCTCGTTGTACCTAATAATATTATTGTCTAAAGTGGATTAATTATTGTGTATAGCTGATAATATATACGCAAATTATTACTCATTTATTATCATCTCTATAATCTATTACGCATACTACGTAATATATTGTATCTAACATGCGGAATATTTGTTATAAATATGAAAAACTAAAAATAGAAATGCAACAAGAGATATCTATTCTCTTCTCTAGAAACTTTATTCTTTTTTAAAGTACTCCGTAAACACGAAATAAACCATCTATTCTTAAATGATGACGAGCAATCAAATTTTGTAAAATTAAAATATTAATTTATAATTTGTAGATAAAAGGGATAGCGATAATTTTAGAATACTATTATTATTATTATTACGATGAAATTTTTAAACGCTTAAGCTATTTGACTTTGTCTACTGACTATTGTTAGATATTTTGATAAAGGCATAATTACTCGCGCTTATAATTATGCATGATTCCACGAACACGAGAGATGCCGCGTATGCGGCTGGAAAAGCGAAAGTTTGCTAGGTTTAATGCATTAGAACTCCGTGAGAGAAGGAAAGAGAGAGAGAGAGAGAGAGAGAGAGAGAGAAAGCCACCGGAGTAGGGTGGACCACTTGGTAGCGCTGTTACTTTTAATTAGAGCAGCCAGCCGCTCTATTTCGGAACGATTAGCGGAGCGAAGCTAGAGACTTAACAGCAATTTTTACTCATTATGTTTCCCGGAAAGATCCCCAAGGTGATGTAGCATGAAAAGATGAATATTCCTCTTGGGGCCAGACGTTGTCTGACATAGAAACGACTTCTCATTATCGTTCTTTTCTCTTGGAATGACAGTTATTATGCATATCCGATAAGATAAAGTAGAATTTGGAAATAACACTCACCTTTCGACTATTCCCATCCTTGGGGTTTAGATCCGAGGCTACTGTCCCGAAAATAGTTGGCTGAAAAAGAAATTCGTAGAAATTAGTTATGTCTTAATATTTTATAATTTTATAACAAGACAGTCTCAGAAAAAATATATAAATAGTATGATGTTTATAATAATTAAAATACTCATGTGGTTACTAACAATTTTTATAAAATAAAAAGATATCAGAATAAATCAGAAAAACAGTTGCTATAGATATATTCACATTAATTGTATAAATTATTAATATAATAATTAAAAAAAATATGCTTATGTTCAATAAATATACGAAAAATCGAACTGAAGATAATCATAATCAAATTATAACTAATCAAATAATCATAACATAAATTAATTAATTAATAATGGCAAACGCAATCACGTGATTAGTATCAAATTATCACAAAAAAAGTTATTCTATATTAAACTGTTTGCATTAAATTTATTCGTAACACTTTTTTTGATAATTACAAACAATATTTAACAATAAGTAATCTTAATTTCATGCAAATCTCTATCTCTAAATTTCTTAAATAAGCGCGCGTTCATACAAACGCCATTAGATAATTAATATAGTAATGGAATAATTACGTAACGCAGTTAATTCAAATTTATTTTTTATCGCTCGCAAAACATTCTTTTGGGTTCTTTGGAAAATATAAATTCAACTTTCATTTTATTCAATTTTTATAATTTTTATAATAAATTGCAAGCATTTTGCAACTGATTGGATAAATCATAGCTATAACGGATAACTATCCGAAGCTGGCGATAAACGTTGCATTTCGTGCGAAATTGTCAGGACATAGCGTGGTCACATAAAACTTCGAATTACAAAATGTCGCTGTAAAATCACGACACCTCGTAAATTCAGAGATGATGTTCAGTAGTTTCAGACTGGCCATTAACTGGCTCCGATCGATGCATCGTAGCATCTAAGCAAAATAAATAAGATAACGCAATACCCAACGATATACCTAAACTCACAATGCATACAAAGTATTATACGTGGTCTGTCCCAAAAGTAACGAGACTATTTTGGGGGGCCTAATCAGAATTGTCGGGAGCGGATCTATTGGATAGGACTTTTGGTGCGGGATGTTAGGTATACAATCTGACCCTTTTCAGTTGCCTCCAAGCCTTTCTAACAATCGATACCGTCAGAAAAATGCGTTGTAATTTTTGTGTCTTGTCACGGGCGAAAATTCAGCACAGATTGTGCTGTATTTTGAGCAGCGATCAAGTTCTAAAGACAAAGAAGCACTCCCATAAGCTGTTCTCAACATCTCCAACGTTTCGAAACTAGATTTTCTCTGCAGTTTCACGCAGAATTTGATCGCTGCTCGAAACTATTGAATTTTCGACCGTGACAAGACACAAAAATTACAACGCACTTTACTGACGGTATCAACTGTCAGAAGGCTTGGTGGCAATTGGAAAGGGTCAGACTGTACACCTGGACATCCTGCATCAAAAGCCTCGTCCAATGGATTCACCCTCCAACAATTCTGATTGGCATCAAAAATAGTCTCATTATTTAAGCAGCGTATAATGAGAATAGTTATTCTTTTAATATTAAATAGTACATATATAGTACCAACAATAATATAACTTTATAATATGCCAAAACAATCGTCGAAACAACGTTAATTTTCTGAAAATTATATCATACATGTCACGATTATTTGGTCGCTCGTGGTCGCTCGAATCATCTCGCAACGTTAATTTCGATAAATTATTACATCCGATCCCATTAGACAATTTACGCATTTAACGCGCCACATATTTTACACGATTATCGTTTACAAATTTTACCGTTGAACTGTATTAGTAACAAACCGTCGACTGTTACTCGATCCACTCGCTTAATTTCAGATCAGCCGAGCCACAGTCAATATTTTATGAGGCTTAATGAAAACTGTCAACGCGACGACAGCTTTGATAAATAAAGCCAGTTTTTACACTCGGCCGACGATACTGGTGGCCGTTCTCGAGTTTTAATGCATCGCCCGTTGCAACAAAATTAAATCGCTCATATGAAGTGACGCTCTAAGTTTCTTCATGTATGTGTTAACCAGAGATATTCATGTGTATGTACCTATATTCATGGTTATATAATGATACCAAAAAAAATTGTGCACTGTCTTTGCTATCACTTTGTGTTAATTTGTGTCCGTAATAATAAATAAAGTTCTTTATTTGACAACAATAATCGTTTATATACTCATTTTATAGATTCAATTTCACCAATATATATCTCTACGTGACAAAATATAATTGCAATTTTGAGTGATAATATAAGCGAATTACATATACATATACATATATGATGCTAATAAACAGGTAGAAATTCATATCATCATGAATTATCATTTGTTTTATCCTACTTGTTGCAATCGTCACGCTTATAATTCCAGGTAGTATATACTATTGTCACTTTAATTCTATTTCTCTATTAACAAAGGAATACATTAACAAAAAAATTCTTTTTCTATCATTATATCTTGAAAAAAAAAACAGAAAACTAGAAGTGTAACGTAAAAAAAAAAATAATACATGATCCTAGAAACGTTTTTATACATCCAAGAAAAATTTATTGTATTTCAAGAAAGAATTTAAAATGCAATTTAATTTACAGTATTAATGTATAAGATGTATCATAATAATTGCCGTAAAGGTTAGTAATATTTTTTCATTTTATTCTAGTTGCCATTTATTTTATTAATTGAAAAAGTCCTTTTTTTTATTCTGTGCTCACTGTATCACACGAATATTGAACAGTGTAAGAGAATTATATTAAAAATTAAGTAAAGTATAATTTTGCGTAAAATACGTTGAAGTTTAATATGTTAAAAATTTCCAAATTTTGTTGCATAAAATATGAGTAGAAGTTTACCTACGCATGACAGTATATTGATTCATTATAGTTAATCCCTCGTTTAACTATATTACTAAAAGTCTCTATCCTCTACGTATTTTTAATTTATTTAGGCTCAATGAGTGTCATTACAATGAAATCCAATTTAAATTTGCAGGGTCTTCTGCATCGAGGAGATAGAAAGTTTGCCTCCGCAAAATCGAGTGTCACCGACAGCAGCAGCAGCAGCAGCAGCAGAAACTTCCAATATCTCACTAAAAAATCGAGGCAGCAAAATTACTTGGCTATCCTCACGCGCAAGGAGCTTTCCCTTCGACCGTAGTAAATAATCAAACAAAAACTGTGACAGCTTATTCTCGAAACTAAATTTATTTCATAAAACTTCAAGGAAGATTTCTTATTGTTTCTTTTACTTTATACTTCTGCAATAATTTACACGGGATTATATAGCTATAATAAAATATAATTTAGAAGTTAGACACTACGTAGAATTGAGAGAATATACACACATTATATATATATATATATATATATAATGTGTGTATAAGGTCTTAATTTACATATGTATATTATTTGAAAATTTTAAAACGTACTAAAATTCTACGAATTTATTTCAAACAGCAATATACATATATGTTGATCATTGAATCGGTAAGTAAAACCTAATGTCAAGCTAGATTTGATATATCTCAATAACAAAATTTCATTAAAGCAACTTCATGCATTTATCATCAAAATTCAGAAGACAGTCGCAAAAATCGAGATGATCAAATTCAGGAATAGATCGCTATGGGATTGTCAAGTCTATAAAAACTCACTCAAGGAAATTGTTATCGATATTGAGGTGGATGAGGCCGAAATCGAAAAGCTGATAGCAAAAGACAAGAAACGGAGTCGTGACAGGCATGAGTTCACATCGACTTGCCATGAGAGATACCAAGGGAATTCTCTTGAAAATCAAAAGGCATCGTCCAACAAAGAAAAGAAAAGGTAGCTTAAACTTTAGAGAATCATATAAGAATTAATTAGATTCATAAATCAAATAAACAGAAAAATTTATGATACCTCTACAATTTATAATATAAATTATTATAATCATACGGACTTAAAAATTAAAAATATCCATTCACAAAAAAAAAAGAGATACGTTTTTACGAGTAAAACCAAAAAAGAGAATCTAGCTGAAAAGACGAAAGAGAGACCGAAGAGAAAACAATTACTATACGTACAAATAATATAATATACGAGTACATTTATTAAAATATCTAGAAAAATCAAAGAGAAGAAAATTTCATTTGATGCCAAATATTATTTCGAATATAATTACGAACTCTTTCTGAAAAATCTGAAGAGATTTCTTATTTTAAAAGGAAAAATCAAATTGTAGGAGGATAATCACAATTTTACAGAATTGGCACATTCTTATATAGAAGATAAAGATATATATAATATTTCAAAAGAAAATAATTGTATCAACCGGCAAATAAATTTTAATATTTTAATCGTAAAAAAGAACAGTAAAGATGCTCCTAAATTATAATGATAAAGATATTGGAAAAAATATGGGAAATATTAATTATAAAATAAAAAATTCAAAATTAAATTTAAAAATGATAAAAGACAGAAATAAAGGTTTAGTATTCAATCGATATAAAAGAGAAAAAGGAAATATATTTAAAGAAATTTATGTAATATATTTAGGTTCTAATAAAAATAGCAGTTGTGAATAACGATAAGTTAAAAGTAATAAAATTTAAAAAAAACCAATTTTAAAGAAACAATTAATAAATAACGATATCATTTATAAATTATCCAATAATACAACATTCCTTACATAGACAGAAATTGAAAAACTTTGCTCGAAATACGTACGCAAAAATTTGAATTTCAATATAAATTTGAATAAGCTGATTAAATCAAGACGTCGTAAAAGATCTAGACAAACTGATTCTGATAAGAGGGTAAATAAAGATAATATAAAAATTAAAAGTGACAATAATGTAAAAAAAAAACAATCAATGTGGATATCGCTATCGCCTTTAAATTATTCATTAATACAAGGATCTTGACTAAAGAGAAGCATTGACAGAAATTAAGAATCACCGCCTGAAGTCTAATTGATAAGATTTAAATTCTGATGCAAATTTGTATAAACGGATCAAGCCAAGAAGCTCAAGAAACATATCATAGCAAATGTGTCAGTTGATTCAAACAAAGGATAATGTATTTTTGACAGAAAAAAGTATTCATAATTCAAAATATAAAAAATCAATAAGAGAAAATCAAATTCAAGAGATGTCCTGATTGTTGTCAATATAGTTTTGCTAGCTAATAATAATAACGAACTATAACGTAATTCATCAAAGAATTCCAACAAATGGTCTACAAAATAGAAAAAATATACTTTTGCAATGACATCCTCTTTTAATGTGTAAATCTTTGATGAACAATCATTTCAAATATTATCTTAAATTTGTACACAAAAGAAGAATAAAGTCAATTTATTTCCTTTTTTACAATATAGCAAAAATATTAATCTTGTTTAATTGATAATGTTATAATAATGTTACAACACAAATATAACTATCTTGATAAATAAAAATTGCGTTCAAGAAACTGACATATACATGATATTGCATTACCTGTCTCAATCGGTTAGCTTCCGCTGTCATGTCATGTTTTTGCTACCTTTCAAATATCACAGGTCGAACAAATACCGAGCTGATAAAAGAGAAAAAAATTGGAATTGATTCATATATATCCATATTCCATGTATCGATTTATATTGTAGACATAAGTACATGAATTATATTTGCAAAAATAGATGTAATATAAATTTACGAAATGTTTCGCTTATACAAGCGAACAAAAAAGTAAAAATTAATCGACCGAAAACACATGTGTACTACTTTAATCAAATGTATTGTTTATTAAGACGAACAAAATGCGACGCACGATCAAATGCGACGCGTTAAAATCGGACACGGCACTCTCGATTTTCCGTGCCATTTACGAGATCGTATTGGTTTGCATTGATATGAATACTATGATCGATAACGTATGTGACCCACTCTAGTAAACGAAAATAGATGTCTTCTTTTTAAAATCACATGAAGCCATTCGTTGGAACACAATCATTTAACGTATATATAACGTACACAATCTCAAATGGAGTTACAAATATGTAATCAAGCTTTGAAAATTCATACTATTTTTCTCGTCTATTTTTGTTGTGTGTAAAAAGAAATAACGCTGCTTACGAATGTACAAACATTTTTACTGATTGGAAAGTTGTTATACCAATGTTTCAATTCATATCGTGGTCTTATACGATGTTCTATTAAAAAAGATCGTGAGATTAATCAATGCATGCCGATTTTTCTTTGAAAAGTTCTAGGATGGGTGGAGAGAGTTGCTACAACGGGGTTCGTTCATGAACAATAAATTTATCCCTACCATTTCAATCGATCACCAGTATATGTACGTATATGATGTATATATCATATGCTACCGGCAAAATACAAAATGGCTATCAGCCACGGTAGCCACCTGTTCGTACCTGTGACATTTGTCTTCTGCTTTCTGTTGCCACTCATTCATGTCTCGGATTCACACGGTAAGCAACTAACTCTTCATTTCACACGACAATTTTATAAACAAATATTCAACAAAAATTCTGAATTTATTATTATCTCACTTTAAAAAAACGAGATATATAATAAATAATAGTATTAGCAGTAAAAGTATATCTTAATTAAAATTCTAAAGATAAGTAATGAATTTCGTAATTATAAGGATACATTTTTTTTAATGAATGTTATGTATTTTTAAATTATATAATTTTCACAAAAAAAATATAAATAAATCACTTAAAGCTAGAAATTGGTCAATAACTTCATATTATTTATATTACTATATTTATCGTAAATATTAATGTCTAAAGTTTATCGCAATTATTATAGTCTTGGTTTGATAGATTTTTAGATAGCAGTTTACTTTAGATAAATCCGCACATATGTAAATAAGAATAGAAAGAATTTATAAAAGTGCATCATAATAGGATCTACATAATGATCGTAGCCACTGTTACACCATAATTTATGACGTAAGGTACTAACGCAAACAAGAAAAACAAAAATCGATTCGATAACTGGCGTAACACGGAATCCTTATCTCTGTCCGCTTCAGCGGTTCGGCCAACGCAATCGCGATTCTAAAAGAAAAAGATCGAAAGAAGACTAGGTTTCTCTCGCCTTCGTGGCGAGATTCCTACGCTCTCTTTCCATTGTCTTTTTACGTCACTGTTATCAAAACGAATCATATTTGATACGGCTAAGAATGTCAATCGGTACGCTGCACAGTCGAGATTACGCTGATCATCCGATTCGTAATGATTTAACTCTTATCTCACCGTGCCTCAATTCGAAAATTGCCATTTTCACACTAATGTCTCGATCAGAGACATTAGTCTTATTCAAACACGAATATGTATAATTATCGAGAAGCATCTTCAGTTGTTTAAAAGGTAAATTGTAAACGTGTGTTTACATTATATTATATTCTCTCAGACATCGCGGCAAATGTGTCGTGAATTAAATATATTTTCCAAGTTTGCGTTCTCTCTCCAAATGCTTGCTTACATTAATTTTCATAAAATTCACACCATTTTAGCTTTTGCAGCATTACTATAGATTAGATCGTAAAAAATTCTATTACGTAAATGAACTACTTTAATTTTTTTCATTTAGTGTTACTACCTAGTATATATGTACAGAACTAATGTTCTAATTCTGGAATTAGAATTATAAAATTTTACGGACAATAAAATATTATTTTCAATTGATCTCAAACAAACTTATAAGTAAAATTTAAATATAAGGATTATAATTATATAACATTTAATAATAAATATTAGGTACATAATGCAAAAAAGATAATGTCTCGCCTAATTTTCTAATTAAAGAAGAGCTGATATCCAGTTGATTAATGGTTCGTAACTGCAAGAAATCAGAATATATGCGATCGTCATCAGAGAAACGAATAGCCAGAAATTAGATAATTATACATTAATTTTGGACACAGAATATGAATAAGTATCTCATAACCATTATTCTAACTTTGTCACTTTGAGATAAAGAAGACTCATTTATTTAATATTCACTGGTTTTCAGCGAAAATCTTTTCGAACAATTAGGTTAAGCCCTGACGTCAATCTCGTAGATAAACTTGAATCCGTTCGAAATGGTTGGCATCGATTTTCTATTTCCGTCGCGGATGGTATCGCGATCGTAACGCGTCGGCTAAAGTCGCGGAGCGTTTCGCATAAAAGTCGTGGCCGAATGCAATCTCCGTGCAGCGATAAAGGCTGTCGGATACTTTCAGCTCGTTATATCGATCCGCTCAAAATACGGTGCTAACTTCGTAGATTACAGTTTACTCCGTGTCGTACTCTAGCGTCAAAGGGTAAAGTTGCTTTTTCCCCAACAAAAGCTGGTGCACCCAAAATCTAATTCCATCGTCAGTAGCGGAGTATCCTGTGCGTCACAAAATAAATTAAATTCTCCTAAAAGTGCTGCCCATTGGCGAGTTAATGTTAATCATAATTTCTTTTCTGTTCTTAATTTACCTCGAAATCATATGAGTTTCACATTAATACGTTTTATCAGTGTCAATGAATTTTTGTAACGCTTCTCTTTTGCCTGAAAATATTTTGACAACACGTCTGAAAGTTATGTTCTATAAATTATATTTATTTTAATATCTAAAATATATTTATACATTATACATTTGATGTTATAAAGATCAGTTTTTGTTTAAATTTGATTAAACATTAAAGAAAGACGGAAAATTAATGGAAGTTATTATTATTAATCGTTTTTTTGTAAATTATATGTTTTTTT